GGATGAGCACTGGGTGTTGTATGGAAACCAATTTGACAATAAATTTCATATATTAAAAAAAAAAACAAAAAAAACTATGTGAGCTTACCATTTACTCTTTTCTCTTAAACCTTTTTTTAGGGTTTTCTATTTCCTCTATGCTTCTACTGGCTACTATCTAAGTCTGTTTAAGTGATGGTAACAAGAACATGTTTATGTCTCAAAGACTATAAAATATTTTCATCTTAATTAAATGAATCAATGACCCACAACAAAATAGCCCTGCAAATCGGCTTACAAAAATACATATTAACAAGAAGAGAAATAGGCTTTTTAAAAATGCCAAATGGTACCATTTTCATTCTGAAAGTAATTATATGCTCTTGAAAATAAGTATGTTCAGCCTCTGTACCCAAAGTGCCAGGAGCAGTACCCGCCATGAAAGATGTGCTGATGACTGAAACGGATTCTAATTTTTTTCTTTTCTCCTTCCTCTCCAGTTTGCCTTCCCCAGTAAATGACACAAATCACACCATAACCTAATTTTAAAAGACACAAATAGTTATTTTCTTTATTCCATATGCCCAAGGGATAAAAGGAAGATATTAAGCTTAGATTATTCTTCAGAATGAAGAACATTAAAGTTGCTGAAAACAGAGGTCTGAATGCACCCACGGCAGCAAGTCTGCAGCCCGGGCAGGCCACGATGATTTATGACCTCATTAAAGGCTGTAAGAAACAAACAGAACCAAGAGTTGCAATGGTGTGTGAGGTGATTACTTGGTGCTGACACGCAGACCCTGGCTGTGAGTAATCTCCTCCTCAGTGCACAAGCACACTCGTTATCAAGTGCCAAAACGTGTTCAACAGTTCAACCAAAGTTATCTTTAAAATGGGAGTAAAGACAAAATAAAGACAGGGGCATGGCAGGAATCCACGTATTTAAGCAAAAACTATAAAAGAACGAATTCCTGAAAATGATACAGCCAGGATTATAACTCTTAACTTTTTAGCCCCTGCAGGCCCAGACACCTCATTTAGAAGCAGAAGAAGGAAGGGGGCGCCTGGGTGGCTCAGTCGGTTAAGTGCCGACTTCGGCTCAGGTCATGATCTTGCAGTTCACAGTGAATTGAAGTCCTGTGTCAGGTCTGTGCTGACAGCTTAGAGGCTGGAGACTGTCTCTGATCCTGTGTCTCTCCTCTCTCTCTGCCCCTTCCCTTTTCATGTGTTCTCTATCTCTCTCTCAAAAATAAAATAAACACTAAAAAAAAGGCGTGGGGGGGTGGTGGTAGAAAGAATGGTGGAGAGTTGTGGAATCAGACCAGTGGTAATGGTCCATAGCCCAGCCTGGGAGAAGGGGTGGGATTTCCACAGCAGGTACTCCCATTATAGAGACAATGATACAAAATTATGTGCGGCCAAAAGTTGTTTTCTGGTTCCTACAAAGGCCAGACCAACCCAACTGCCTGTATCTCTGTAAAGCTGCTGCCCTTACAGCCCAGATGCACCCATCAGGAGGTATCAGAAGGTAGTTTTTCCCTGGCTCCCACCTTGCACTGGAATAGTAAGGGTTTCCTTCCTCTTCAAACTTCTTAATGATTGGCTCTTTTAAAGCTGCTTCATCCGCACTGGAGAACTGAAAGAAAAGGGACCATGAATGAATCCACTGTACTTAAGCAACAGATCCACACAAGAGAACCTCAAGAAAAAAGGGGTGAGCGTTTCTTGAGTAATAATGTCACAACCACCATCTGCACAGTGACATATATAGATGACAAGGGATACTTTAGCACACGTGATCTCACCTGAGACATGAGTAACAAACTGGTCCACCATTACATCTCCCTTGTCAGAGACAACTTCCTGAGGCGGTTTAGCGTAAGGTTCAAAACCAAGGGGATCGCAGGGCACCTGAGTGGCTCAGTTAGTTGAGCATCTAACTCTTGATTTTGGCTCAGGTTGTGATTTCACGGTTTGTGAGATCGAGCCCTGCAATGTGCTCCACGCTGACAGTGCGGATCCTGCTTGGGATTCTCTCTCTCTCTTTGTCCCTCCCCTGCCCTCTCCGCCCCTCAAAATAAGTAAATAAACTTGAAAAACAAAAACAAACCCAAGGGGATAGAGTATTCTAGCAGGGCCTAACAAGGGATGTGAATTATACAAAAAGTAACAAAAGGGCAATTTTACATTTAGCAGCTTCTGTTGGACGGGGACCAGTAGGAGGTTGTTGTGGGTTTTTTTGTTTTTTGGTTTTTTTGAAACAGAGAGTGGTGGGTATGGGCAGAGAGAAGGGGAGAGGATCCCAAGGAAGCTCCACACTGTCGGCACAGAGCCCAGAGTGGGACTCCATCTCATGACCATGAGATCAGGACCTCAGCCGAAATCAAGACTCATATGCTTAATCAACCGAGCCACCCAGGTGCCCCGTAGGGGATTTTCATTCAAAATAGCCAAATTTAAAACAATTTTAAAGTTTAAATGGGTGAAACATCAACCACCACTTGAATAAACCCAAATAGCTGAGAGATATTTTAAAAATTAATTAAAAATTTAGTGGCTTGCCCACCAGTATTGCCAGAAACAAGCAATAATTAATTCAGTTGCAAAAATCTTTATGCAGACCAATTTTGAAACCCTGGAAAGTGTTTTCAACTTAAAAAGTATTTCACACCAAAACAAATGACTTATTTCAAATAAATCCAACCTTCTTTTATGTACTTTCATAGTTTAGTATCATTTATATGTCAAGAATTTGGCGAGAGAACCACTAAAATCCTATACTTTCCTTTCATAAATGAATTCATATATTTGTATATCAATCAAAGAACAACTATTTAATAAAAGACTACCATACTGGGCTAGGGTTAAAGATAGGTCTTTAAAATATCAGGTAGAATTTCACACCTCTGATGCCTAACACACAAACACACAACAAACACAAGAGTAAACCTCTCATTTCACTTGGATACTCATCAGTACGGAAATGAATAGGAAACTTCAGTTTAAGTCTACAGAATTCCTGCTGCTTGGAAAAGACAACTGAGGATGTGAAGCATGAGTAGGATGCATTCAGGGAGGCAGGAGTCACCCCTCATGCTTATCTTATCCCCATTCCACAAGCTAGGCGGTTGACCAGATGATCCTAACTGGCAGGAATGAGAACCTTAGAAGGCAGGGCCTCCTCCATGTTATGCCCTGTTATAACATTTTTTTTTTTAATTTTTTTTTTCAACGTTTATTTATTTTTGGGACAGAGAGAGGCAGAGCATGAAAGGGGAGGGGCAGAGAGAGAGGGAGACACAGAATCGGAAACAGGCTCCAGGCTCTGAGCCATCAGCCCAGAGCCCGACGCGGGGCTCGAACTCACAGACCACGAGATCGTGACCTGTCTGAAGTCGGACGCTTAACCAACTGCGCCACCCAGGTGCCCCTGTTATGCCCTGTTATGATAAAACAGGTCACGTAAACAGTTCCAAGAACATGCATCAATCATTTTAAGGCTCGGGGCTTATGCAAAGTAGTAGTATAACTAATAAAAATTAATGCACAACTTCAGAAGAATCTCTGAGACACAAACAAAAGAATCCATTTTCAAAACAAATGCTTGCAAAGAAGAATTTGCCTTAATAAATTATTCTGTTGTTCACTCAACCCTCAGATTATAAGCTGTCCGCCCCCAGACTGTCAGCTACTCAAGGGGAAAGAACCTCACATTTTCTCCAAGTCATGTAAACCTTCTAAGGTGCTTGAGCACTCTGTACCCTGTGGAGTACTCAGTCAGTACCTTTTGTGTGATGTTGCTGTCAAGGCCTAAAAAACAATCGCTTCAAAGTACCTACTATTAACATTTAGAAAACTAAAAGCAGCCACTTGCTGACTTGCCTTTCATCAAGCTTCCAGTGACCTTTCCATTTTTCATTTATATGTGCACAGTATAATAATGTTACTCAATTCTCAATTAAAGGACCGGGCCCTCCCACTCAAGGACAATCTAAGAGAGAAACTGGAAAAAACAAAATTCTGCTGCTTTAGGTCATAAAATCAAAGAAGTAAATCGCATTTATTTAAATCTCACTAACTGCAAATGACTAAGAACCTAAGATCCTTATGCCTCAGACCAGTGTCTGAGTTTCTCGAGTATTTTCTTGGAAATTCTGAAAAATTACAACAAGCAACCTCCAATAAAGTAGCTCTAACAAGAGAGACAGAGCATATGGAAGTCCAAATTGCTGACAGTCAACATCTTCTAAGCGAAGCCAGGCCCTAACCCGTGAACACTGAGGAGTTCTGGGTGCGCTGCTCCCTGGCTCAGCCAAACCCAGAGACACAGAAAAAACAGCATTTACTTGTTTCCCTTCACGTGCTCTTTGGTCCTTTGCTACTGTGGCCAACACATTGGCTGCCTGCTCTCCTCCCATCACTGAGACACGAGCGTTTGGCCACAGGTAGAGGAATCTTGGGCTGTAGGGGGGGAAGAAAAATGATCAAATTAATTCACTGTACAACACAGAGGTTTTCACAGGCCTGTGATTACCTCCTAAATTAGTGGTTCTTCATTCCAGCTGTGTATTCCAAGGGCATTTTTTTTAAAAATCACGTTTGGAACCTACCCCAGACGAATCTCCAGAGGTGTGTGCTGAGTGTAGTCGGGTTTTTAAGTTCTCCACATGATTCTGATGTCTGTTTTGATAAATTTTATTTGTCCATTTCATGTCAACTTATTGGGCATAAAAATATTCAAAATATCCCCTTATTACCTGTGCTTATGTCCTGTTTTCCATTCCCGATATAAAGTCTTTTTGCTTTATTTTTTAGTTTTACTAGGAGACGATCAAATTTGTTAACCTTTTTAAACAAATAAGTCTGGGCTTTCCTGATTCTTTTATCTTTACGATGTTCACTCTTTATTGTGTCCTGTTTTCTATTTTCTTGTGTTTAATAAGCTGTTCTTCTTCACACTTCTTGAGCTGGCAGCCTGGCTCAGTGATTTTCAGCCTGACTTTCTTTTCCAGTCTATGTATATTTACGTCTAGTATACACCTTCCTCATAGCAAGACTTTAGCTGCATCACATAAATTACGACATTATGAGCCATCGCAAAATATTTCCTGATTCCCATTGTGGATTTCTTCCAAGTAGCACGTTTAGTCTTAAATTTCATTTCACTCCTCCAGATGATACAAATTACGGTATAACTGATCAAAATTTGTGAATGCCATTCTATGTTTCAAATAAACCTGTAACAAACTGACCATTTATAAATATACTTGAAGTGTGATTCTTTCTTCAGAGAAAACCATGACAATCACCTACCTATATGCTCTGCCACACATCCCATAGTTTCCAGCCCCATAAGATCCCCCAATGATGACAGTTATCTTAGGCACATTGGCACAGGCTACAGCAGCCACCATCTTGGCACCATCCTTGGCAATTCCTTCCGCCTCATAGTCTCTACCAACCATAAATCCTAAGGAAAAGAACAGAAAAAGAGCCTCTGGATGTAATGGAATTTATGTGCAGAAGTCAAATCCAACATCTTGTCAAATTGTATTTTACTACAAAGCCTCTCACTGTAACAAAATATTTACATGTGAAATATACACCCCCAAAAAGTTTGCTTGAAAAGATAAAATAAGGGGAGCCTGGGTGGCTCAGTCGGGTAAGTGTCCAACTTTGGCTCAGGTCATGATCTCGTGGTTTGGGGGTTTGAGCCTTGCGTCAGGCTCTGTGCTGACAGCTCAGAGCCTGGAGCCTGCTTCAGATTCTGTGTCTCTCCCTCTCTCTGCCCCTGCCTCACTCACACTCTCTCTCTCTCAAAAATAAATAAACATTAAAAAAAAAATTTTTTTAAGATAAAATAAAACTGCTCTAATCACTTCTAAAATTTTCATTTTATTGAAACCATTAAAATGGTTCATCTGGATGCACACACAGCTCTCAAACAAGATCAGGATGCCAGGAGTTTACCGTCAAAAATTCTCCCCAAACAGCAGTCTGTGATGAAGGACTGTGGCACAGCAAGCTCAGGACGAAATGCTGTAGCAAGCCGAACTACAAGGGCTTCCATATTTCCTGACCTGGTTTAATATATAAACTGTTCCTTCTGAAGCACTGCTTTAAAATTTGGATGAAATAAAAAGATAGATGTTTCAAAGATGGTAAGAGCCCCCCGCCAGTGACTCAATAGCATGGTGGAAGAATTTTTCACAGCAACTACAGCATTCCTGTGCTTCCTAAAGCTCCTGGCCATGGGAGACTGCTCTGCAGCTGCACTGGGCCCTCCAGGCCTTGGGCTCCTTCCTGCTCACCTCACAAAACCCAAGCCAGGCTTCATGCGTCTCCCTCCCCAACCGTCCACTCACTTGCCTAACTGGCTGTCACTGTTTTTGTTTTGCAAGTCCCTGGCAATCAAGTCATCCGATTCCATTCAGTTTTTATGGGACAGCTGTCCAAGCTGCAGACACAGCGGTACTGACAGGACAGCCCTCATCCTTGCCAGGCACACTGTGCTTCCCTGGGACCCCTGTGAACAGGGCCCTCTCAATAGCTCAGAGCACCTCTTCCTGCCTTGTCTTGATTTCCTGAAATATTCCACAGTAGCTAGCTCAAATATCAGCTACCTTCAAGCTCTCATCCCTCACCCAGCACCCTACCGCTTCTCTATTCCCTGGAGATGATTTTGCCTTCAAAAATAGGATTCCATGGGGTGCATGGGTGGCTCAGTCAGTTAAGTGTTTGACTCTTGGTTTTGGCTCAGGTAACGATCTCACAGTTCATGAGTTTGAGCCCCACATCAGGCTCTTAGGTGATAGCACAGAGCCTGCCTGGGATTCTCTGTTTCCCTTTCTCTCTGCCCCTCCCCTGTTCATTATCTTTCTCTCTCTCAAAATAAATACCATAAACATTAAAAAAAAAAAAAAAAAAAAAAAAAAAAAAAAAAAAGATTGTGCCACCTCAATTGTCTTTCTCCTAATCCTTCCCAGCATAAAAAACAACATAATCATGCTCCCTTCCTTCCTCTCCTCTCATCTCTTTGGAAAAAATCAGAGTTCTGTCCTCAAAGACTGTCCCTGAGCCCTCTTGTCTTCTTTCGGGGGTGTTCTCATCTCTTCCCACAGTCTTAAATAACATCTACATATTCTGAGGATGCCTATATTTTTATATGCAGCCAACACACGTCCTCTGTGTTCAAGATTTTTTGAACTGCTAAGACGCCTGAGTGGCTCAGTTGGTTAAGCATCAGACTTCAGCTCAGGTCATGATCTCGTGGTCCACGGGTTTGGACCCCCATACCGGGCTCTGTGCTGACAGCTCAGAGCCTGGAGCTTGCTTCAGATTCTGTGTCTCCCTCTTTCTCTGCCCCTCCCCACTTACACTCTGTCTCTCAAAAATAAATAAATGTTAAAAATATATTTAATAATAATAAAAATAGATTTATTCAACTGCCTTTTGTATGTGTATCTCCATGGATGTCACACAGGACTGTCAAATGCAAGATTGCAAAATCAAACACAATCTCTGCACTCTGCGCCCAACCCAACCAAAAAACCAAAGAACAGAAATGTAGGTGTAACTTCCAAGAACAAGGTTTAACTTACTGGTGGTTAATAAACCATCAAATTATTAGAAACAAGGTCCCCTGAAGCTTCAGAATTCTTTTTATCTGCCTTCCACAAGGTTTGCCACAAAGTGCTCTCTCAGGCTGCTGTTGGGACATAACGCCTCTCAAAATCCATCTAATCAACTATCCTAAACTTAAGGGGAGCACCAGATCAAGATGTTTTTGCACCAGGACTGTTTAATGCCCTGCTGACTAGCGGGAGCCAAACTCCTTTTTCTTGTGAAGGCTCACCTGATTCTAATGACTAACTAAGAACCCTCCTTCCTTTGAGCTTGAGATAGCCAAGGATCATTTTGAAGACAGGAGGGGGGGGGGGGCTTTCAGCTAACCACCATATCTAAGTGCCCCCTATAGGTTAGGCACTGTTCCACAAACAAGATAAATAACAGAGAATTGTAAGAAAAAGGACTCTACAACCACAGAAGACCTTAAAAATCATTTCATCCACCCTATTAAGATCATCTATGAAACATGAAATCCAGAGAGGGGATACTGATCTTACCATTCTTTGGAGTCCAAACTCAAATCCTCAGACTATTGTTCAGGATGTACATACACCTTTTCTAGTATGTCACTTCAGGTAGAATTAACCACACAATAAAAGATGAGGAAAAGGAAGGAGCATAGCATGTGCTTGAAATCCTTTATGGAAAACAAAGTGCTAGGAAAGAGATGATGGGTCAGACAACACTCTCTGGTAGTGAGATCAGTATTTCTGGGAGAGAATAGAGCCCTGCCGGGGCGGGGGAGGAAGGGGCGTAGGTATGCGCCTGTAGGAGTAAAGGGAGGCCCTCTGACTGTGATACATGTAACTGAGAAACTGCTTTATCCAAATAGAGATAAACATCTCATTTTAGATTCATGAAGTGTTAACCCTTGAAGAAACTCTACAAAAGAGTATCCAGTTGAACTTTTTGCTATAATGGAAGTGCTCTATGTCTACACTGCCCAATATCTGAGTCCTACTGGACAGTTAATCTCTGGAATAATGCAACAAAACTGATTAAGCTATTTTCTTACCGGTAATGTTTTGAAGGAACAGCAGAGGAATACTCCTTTGGCAGCATAACTGGATGAAGTGAGCCCCCTATAAGCAAATGAGGTAATCTTTTTAAAGGGGGGTGAACAAATCTGTAGCCATCATGCATCCTACAAACACCATACCTGGGTCAGCAATAGGAAAGTGTACCCTGTGCTTGGCTAGTTTGACCTTACAGTAACAGTAACAATAATATTCCCGTGTGGACCCACGGCCAATGGGACATCGACTATGGTTTGTACTACATTTGTTTGCAGTCATGTGTGTGATCACTGGCTCACAGCTGTAGGGATGAAGTCAATCACTAACATTCTAAACAGCAAGTGAAACTCAAAAAACTAGAAGTGCTTGTCAGTGGGAATTCCTGAGCCTCACTATAATTCCTTAGTTTTCCACTTTAAAAGAAAACAGAGGGGCGCCTGGGTAGCTCAGTCAGTTAACTGCCCAACTCTTGATTTCAGCTCAGGTCATGATCTCATGGTTTGTGAGATGGGGCCCCCGGATGGGCTCTGTGCTGGGAGTGAGGGCCTGCTTGGGAATCTGTCTCTCTCTCTCTCTCTCTCTCTCTCTGCCACTCCCCCACTTGAGCTCTTTCTCTCTCTCTCTCAAAATGAATAAACATTAAGAAAAAAAACTTTTAGTAAAAATTAAAACAATATAAGCACTTTTAAAACAAGTATTCCTGGGGCGCCTGGGTGGCGCAGTCGGTTAAGCGTCCGACTTCAGCCAGGTCACGATCTCGCGGTCCGTGAGTTCAAGCCCCGCGTCGGGCTCTGGGCTGATGGCTGGGAGCCTGGAGCCTGTTTCCGATTCTGTGTCTCCCTCTCTCTCTGCCCCTCCCCCGTTCATGCTCTGTCTGTCTCTGTCCCAAAAATAAATAAACGTTAAAAAAATAAATAAATAAATAAAACAAGTATTCCTACAGCCTGAGGATACATACATGTGATCCACAGCACTTACAGTTCAAGCGTCGTGTCAAAACTTCCCTGAAACATTTCATTGTTTAAATAATGCTCTAGATAAAACATGTTAATGTAAACCCCCATATAAACGGTTTCAAACACTAACATACACACACACACGCTCACATGCACATACAGTGTTCTGCCTACTAAGGCATCTGGTTAAATATTTTAAAGTTTTCATGCAATAAACTTTCATTCATTACTTGACCTTCAAAGTTTAAAACAGAAAATCCTGAAACATGTTTAACAGTACTTGCCTTTTTTGCAGATTCAGAAAAGAGAACTCCGTTATTTCCAATGATACCTATAGGGTATCCAAATATTCTAGCAAATCCTCAAAAGAAAATTGAAAAAAGATTTATGTATTCCACAGGATTTTTAATTCACAGCTAACAGACATAGTTACACATTCTTTAATTTCAAATCAAAGTTTAAAACGTGGGGATTCTGTCTAGGGTACAGAACAGCTCGTGTCACAATTTCTTCTTTCTAAAGTACTGGAGAATCTGGGTTCTTTGCTTCCTTGAAAGGAGTGTGTTACCTGTAAAGTTATCACTTTGTCTGACTGGTTGGTTTGGTTCGATGATGGGGTAGGGTGTTGCCCATTCATTTGTGTAACACATGTCCGAGTGCCTACTAAGTACCAGACAGAGGACATTCTGAAATGGAACAAATCACAAGCGGAGAGCCATTTAAAGGCCCATGTTCAGAGCTATCTGTCATTCTCAGGTGACTGGCTTGCCTGAAAGTGCCTGTGGCAATGACAGGCCCTTGAGGTAAAGGGTATAAACTCAGCAAAGGCCAACTTTCTTTCTTTCTTTCTTTCTTTTTTAATATAATTTATTGTTAAATTGGCTTACATGTAACACCCAGGCCAACTTGCTTTCAAAAGCGGGAGCACAGTAGAGGCCGGTGGTCACACAATGAACCACTGCACTTTCATTTTCTCTAAAAGCTTCCTTTATTCCTCACCACCAGTCCCACTACCGCTGCAAACACCCACTCTCCATACACATAGACACAAAGGAAGAAGAAAAAGAGGGAAAACGATTAGTATGTGAGGGAGACACCTGAGGGGATTTCAGGAGGCTTTGTAAACCTGAAAAACTACAGAGATCTTCCCAAGAGTGAATTGCAACAAGCCTAACGGGGACTCTAAATAGGTATCAAACACTTGGAACCCAAGAGTCAACAAACAGTGCTTGTTGACAAAGCACTCTCCCAAAGTGCCTGGGGACCCCGCTCTGTCTTCAAGCTCAAGACACACCGGCTGCCAGCTGAGACGCTCGGCGGCATGTGGTGTGCGACACAAAGTGGTGTGTGACACAAAGCAGGTGCTCGAAAAATTGTTGAGGGAAAATTAATGGATAAGAGAGAGTGTCAACCTGCTGATATGCCAGAACACTGAATTTTTAAAAACTTGTTTTTGTTCTTTACTCTGGCGTTGTCTTGGTTTTCTTAATCTTTCAGTCCTAAAATCCCAGCCAAAAGCCTATGCTGCATTTCTTAAGTGGCAATGCCACTTACAGAGACAGTGCGAAGGGGTGACCTTCTCCAAAGGTCTAGCAATCCGCTTCCACTTTTGTGCCCCACCCCCACAAAACCAGCTGGGAACCTGCACATCTCTTGGCAGTGTGGTGCTGCTCCTAAGGTATACTGCCCTGTGTGAGCTATTTAGACTTTCAACCCATCCTGAGCCTGGCTTGGGATCTCCAAGCCCATGGGCACATGCCCCACTATACCAGGGACACAGAGGAAGTGCCTTCACCAACTTCCTTCGGGCCAAACAGGAAAGCAAAATGTCCAAGAAACTACTAGGGCATACCTAGGCAGGTGCAGAGGCAGGAAGAAACTCTTAAGAGCTGCCAGGGATACCTGATCCTCAGAAAAATCTGTTCTTCCTCCCCCCAGTACTTCCTCCTGTCACCAACCTCCATTCATTCCCCTCTTCTCCTTCTCACTTCTCACTTCCCCTTCCCCTTCTCCAATCTTATCTGAATTCAAGACAGAGGAATTACATATATCCTAAGTATTCTAGGGGACAAAGGTACCACAGGTCTTTGAGCAAGTAAGGGGCAAACTGGTAAAAACAGATGACAAGGACAGCCCATCCATCTTTGGAAAAGAAGCAGAAACAGCTCTGACTTGTTTCAAACCGCTGCACAGTGAGCGTTACATCCGGAACTATTTGGCCACAAATCCTGTCTATATATCAAACAAAAGTCTCTTAATCACTTAAACACCTCAATACAAAAACATAAATTCCACTCCCAGTGTGAACGCTTTTATTGCTCATAAATCACACCAGGAGAAAGTGTTGTGATTTATCCTTAAGCCTCCACGTAGATTTGCAATTTGGATTTTTTAGTTATTTTTTTTTTCGCTCTGATATGTTGCCTTCAGATTACTTACTACATTTTCTAGCTTTCATAAGACCAAATAAAATTCAGAGAATTCGTTTTGCCATTCGTCCAAGATAGATTATTATGGGTCTAGCATCTATGTTTCAAACACTTTTCTTCCAGAGCCTGCAAACTTAACACTTTAGATGAATGAATGAACTTTTATAAATAGACTTATTTGTTTTTTCAGACGTGGTTTTCTGTCCTGTATTCTCGGTCTAGTGTTTACATGATTCGATGTTAGACCCACACAGAGGCTATGAGAAGGTCCTTCTAGGAAGGACATTATATAAAACCTCCCAGTTGAATTAGAGACTAAAGAACCAAGGAAACAGTGCTGAAAATTTCAAAACAATTACAAATTATCCAAACAAGGGAAACCTGGGTGGCTCAGTTGGTTAAGTGTCCGACTTCAGCTCAGGTCATTATCTTGTGGTCTGTGAGTTTGAGCCCCACATCAGGCTCTGTGCAGACAGTTCAGACCCCGGAGCCTGCTTCGGATTCTGTGTCTCCCACTCTCTCTGCCCCTCCCCAACTCACACTCTGTCTCTCTCACTCTCAAAAATGAATAAATGTTAAAAAAAAATTTTAATTAAAAAAAAAAACCCAAATTATCCAAACAAAAAGAACTACAAATGCTCCCACTAATTTTACTGCGGTAACGGGTCTTTACACGGTGAATTCCACCAAGTCACAGACAAGGTCCTGCACCACAGCATCCAGCCATCATCATACTAAACCCTCTGGATCTACGAAGCTGTTCAGCTCCAAGTCATCTTCACAAAATAACTCCTTTTGAATACAGGCCCACATACTTGTCCTGCTCTAAATAACAAAGCTCACACCAAGTGCATCAACACCTGGAGATAAAACATCACTTATTTTCAAAGTAATAGAAAAAGTTCAGGGGCACCTGGCTGACTCAGTACAGCATGTGACTCTTGATCTCGGGATAGTGAGTTCAAGCCCCATGATGGGTGTACAGAGTGCTTAAAAATAAAATCTTTAAGGAGACGCCTGGGTGGCTCAGTCAGTTTAGCATCTGACTTCGGCTCAGGTCATGATCTCATAGTTCGGTTCGGGAGTTCGAGCCCAATACTGGGCTATGAGCTGACAGCTCAGAGCCTGGAGCTGCTTCAGATTCTATGTCTCCCTCTCTCTCTGCGCCTCCCCCACTCACTACTCTGTCTATTTCTCTCAAAAAAAAAAAAAATAAACATTAAAAAAATTTTTCGGGGCGCCTGGGTGGCGCAGTCGGTTAAGCGTCTGACTTCAGCCAGGTCACGATCTCGCGGTCCGTGAGTTCGAGCCCCGCGTCAGGCTCTGGGCTGATGGCTCAGAGCCTGGAGCCTGTTTCCGTTTCTGTGTCTCCCTCTCTCTCTGCCCCTCCCCCGTTCATGCTCTGTCTCTCTCTGTCCCAAAAATAAATAAACGTTGAAAAAAAAAAAAAAATTAAAAAAAAAAATTTTAATAAAATCTTTAAAAAAAAAAATGTTCATATTTTCAATTCTTTGCCTTTATACCTGTAACTAATGTGTCTCCATATAAGGCTTTGAACTCATTGAATCTGCTTCCATCCACGATTCTAGCAATGACCTAAGAAGAAAAATAACAGTGTCCCTGAGATATTATACTACAAAAGAATTTTTTGCATTAACGTTAGTCATAAGGAAAACAAATTCATGCTTAAGTTGTTACTTTCACAGAATTTCACCCTACACAGCAAGTCTTCTCACTAGAATTTCACTTTAGATGCATGGTTGATACCCTGAAGTCATTCTGGGCCCTGGTTTTATACTACGTGGTCAGAGCAACAGCACCATGTTACAAAGCAGAGAAGCAGAGAGACTGTAAGGGCTGCACGCTGGACTCAGAGCTCCAGGAGCTGCTCAAAAGTATCAGCTGAGGGTCAGGGATTCAACCACAAAGCACGGGATAGGCTCAGAGTCAGGAGACTTAGCCTCCAACCTAAGGGATCAATAGGACTTGCATGTCCTGGAGGGAGTCTCAGTTCTCACCTCTGCAAAGGTGGGACAAGGTTGTGAGGATGCGATGAACCTAAGCAAATAGTGCTGAGAGGAAGACCCAGCCCTGATTCCTGGCTCTATAGCTGAGAAACCAGAGTCACAGCCTGGCTACCTCAAGTCCCCTGAGCCTCACTTTTCTCATCCGGTTTAAAGAAAAACAAAAAGATAAGGGGAGCCCTCTTACACCACTGGTGGGAATGCAAACTGGTGCAGGCACTCTGGAGAACAGCATGGAGGTTCCTCAAAAAAATTAAAAGTAAAACCACCCTATGACCAAGCAATTGTACTACTAAGGTATTTATCCAAAGGATACAAAAATACTGATTTGAGGGGCACAGGCACCCCGATGTTGACAGCAATATTATCAACAATAGATAAGATATGGAGAGAGCCCAAATGTTCATCAACTGCTAAATGGATATAGTCAAGGGGAAAACTAAGGCACAGAATCTGATAGTAAGATAATTTCCTAATTTGAAAAAAAAGATAATTCCCTAATTTAAAAAATATTCTGTCAGATAGCAAACAAAATAAAAGACTACATGCTATATGCAAGCACTAAAAATTGTCAATCTAGACCAAAGAAGACCATGTCGACAATCTGTAACCATAGCAACAGCTTCAACTGTAATCAAAAGTCTAATCTCTGCTAATGTCATGTTGATTTAAAACGGTACGTTTTTGGGGCGCCTGGGTGGCGCAGTCGGTTAAGCATCCGACTTCAGCCAGGTCATGATCTCGCGGTCCGTGAGTTCGAGCCCCGCATCAGGCTCTGGGCTGATGGCTCGGAGCCTGGAGCCGGTTTCCGATTCTGTGTCTCCCTCTCTCTCTGCCCCTCCCCCGTTCATGCTCTGTCTCTCTCTGTCCCAAAAATAAATAAACGTTGAAAAAAAAAAATTTAAAAAAAAAACAAAAAAAAAACGGTACTTTTTTTCCTTTCAACAACTTACTGACATTGCATCCACTTCCCAAAATCAGAACACTAAAAAGAAACAGCTGAAAATTATGAAGTTACCTACATCATTCCTAAGTTCCACAGGAATAATGAGTCCTATTTTTGAACAAAGCAAGTTTCATCATTGTGCAATGAAAACTTCCCAACCATTAAGAGGATTTTAATCCCCCTCTCTCTTCTAGTAAGAGATCTTTCCCTTCTATGTCACTCCCTACTGAGATCTACAGTAGGCTCTAAGGCACCAACCTATCTAAACAGATTGCAGCCCTACAAATTGATATAATGAGATTGACAGCATGGTTTATAGCTCACAGTTCCACTCCACACACCTCTCGGATATCAAAGTTCCTCTTAAGGTTAGTGCCAACTATTCCATACAATTCATCAGCAGGAAACAAAGGATCTTCAGAAGGCTCAATGGAAACCTGCAGAAATATAAAACAACCACATCAACCTGTTAAAAGACATTATTCAGGGTAACATAAGTCAAAATGCTTTTCAATAAAATAAAAAACAGAAGAACATAACCAACTCACATCCAATTTCTTCTGATAATTTAGATTCCTCACAATCTTCCTAGTTATGTGAAGGGCATGAGTATCATCCAAAGCATAGTAGTCGGATACTCCAGACTTTCTACAGAGCAAAGCACACTAAAATAATCAGAACAGGGAAAAGGAAAAGAAGTATCTTAAACCCCAAATATCTTCTCTCACTTAAGGATAGCATCATTTCACTTCCAAAATACTTCAATACATGTCATCTAATTTGATTCTCACAATGGCCGTGGCAGAAAGGTATTATCCTTATTTCACAAACAGGAAAAACTGAGGTATACTTAAATTAAGTACCTTGCCCTAGGACCAGCAGTAGCTGTATAAGAATCCACACCTTCTATTTCTTAATCTTGACCTTCTTCTACTAGACCAGAGAGCCTTGCTGATGAGGACTTCTATTTAATCCTCCTCCCATGCATCTCAAACAAAGCTGTATATGATTAAAGTTCAACAACCACAGATGGCATAATGTAGTCCATAACAACAAACTGTTTGTCACTAACTAACTAAGCTCCTAACAAAGATGCCAACTATGGTCTCTCATTTCAGAGAGACAGCTGAGGAGCACCTTACAAAGTTACACCCTAAGAGTAAGCTGCTATAGGTAACATACAAAGGCTTGAAGACCCTGTCCCTTGGCTCAATGGTAAAACTGGGTATTGATAATAGAAATGTGATAAGGGCCACTGAAGTTCCCATTCAATTTCAAGTTCGGTGTGAATGATGCATGGGCTTGCTCTATTAGTTTTATTCTGATTAGATGGCTTGTTATCTCACAGGTAGATATACTATGACTCTGTAATATAATATTAAAAATAACTGTAGGGGCACCTAGCTGGCTCAGTCAGTGGAGCATGTGACTCTTGATCTGGGGGTATTAAGTTCAAGCCTCACGTTGAATGGAGAGATTAATTAAAAATAAAATCTTTTAAAAAAAAAATAAATAAGGGGTGCCTGGGTAGCTCAGTCAGTTAAGTGTCCAACTTTTGATTTTGGCTCAGGTCACAATCTCACCTCTACCCTACTCTACCCTGGCAGTGCAGAGCCTGCTTGGTATTCTCTCTCCCTCTCTATGCGCCCCTCCCCTGCTCTCTTCCAAAATAAATACATAAACTTAAAAAAAATTTTTTAAACTAAAATGATGATAAACACAGACAAAAATATGTACCTGAAAAAAATAAAATTTTTCTTCATTTTATGAGTAAGGACTAATCTGCTGCAACTAAATTGTGATAATTGTGATGTCCTGTCTAGGGAAAAATGCCAAACCCTTGATAGATATTTCTTAGAAATGGGTTCTCACGGTGGTTTCAGGGCTCTCTACCTCTGGACTGGGTGTTTCTAAATGAGCATAGAGACCGTGTTTAGTCCTACAGCCCCACACACGCTGCAAATACTAGACCCTTCAGTTTTTTTAACTTAATATGACATTTTACAACTAACCATATCTTTTAAGTGCTTCATACATAATGCCAGCTATAATTGCTGACTTCTAGCTGCACTGTAATAATTCAGTAAGCAAACAGCAGCAGAAGGAACTACTTCCAAATCAGTAAATATTTAAAATAAAATGCTTTCTTTTCAAAACTGCCTAGTATTCATGAAAACAGCAGGAAAGGGAAACCTTTGATGAGACACTATATTATGAAAGTCTTTATGTCAAATTAACTCCTCAGGATGACTAATCAAAGAGGTTTAAATATGGATTTACAAAGAGGCACCTGGGTGGCTCAGTCGGTTAAGCATCTGACTTTGGCTCAGGTCATGATCTCGTGGTTTGTGGGTTCGAGCCCTCCATCGGGCTCTGTGCTGACAGCTCAGAGCCTGGAGCCTGCTTCGGATTCTGTGTCTCCTCTCTCTCTGCCCCTCCCCCCACTTGTGCTCTGTTTCTCTCTCAAAAACAAATAAACATTAAAAAATTTTTTTAAATATATGTATTTACAAAGAGAAAACCCAAAGCAATCTATTACACTGTTAAAAAAAACAAAAACCAAGCCATCACCGCTTAATCATTGTCTCATGATTTTAAACAGGTTATTATTAATAATAATAGCTAGTAGCAATAGGGTGCTTAGCAGGCATAAGGCACTGCTAGGAGGTGGGAACTATTATTATCTTCATTTACACATGAAGACATGAGGCTCAGGGAAGTACGTAGTTGGTCTAGTCACAACAGTAGTAAGTAAGGCAAAGAGAAGATGAATTCTGGAACCTACAGCCCAACTTGGCATACTGCTACAGTGTTTATGGGCACCAGATAACTTTTTTTAAATCAAAAAAATTTTTACACTACTGCTCGTCCAATGATATCTTCATTTCCTTCTCCCGTTAAGCAACCACAAACAGTGGCAGTCCACCTTGTATTCCACCCACCTGTTCCACTGGCGTGCTCCTCCCTCCCGGCTGCCTGCCATGGCCTCCCTCCCTCCTCCTCCCACACCAACGTCTGCCTGCAACGGCCCATGCTATCGATCGGAGAGGACCACAGCAAGTCCGCTTACACGCATGTGCTCACCGTAAAGAAACGAGTGCTCTGTTCCACGCATGCAGAACACACAACTTAGGTGTCCTAAGCACAACACCCCTCCCTTAACCACTCCTCCTATTGCCTCTAGTTGGAAAGCTGGAAGCAAGCTAGCATATTCATTTTGTAATTGCTTTTTAGCTCTTTGGTTTCTCTTATCTACGTAATGAAATTATTAATCCTGAGGGGAAAGACCAGGCCTGAAATTTTTCTGTGTTACTCACAACACTGAGTGCCATCAATCTAATCACAGTAAGCTCTCAGTGAGAAGGGAATGAAGGAAAAACTGAGGCAAATGTAGCTCCTTTCCCCAACTTTTCTTAAGGCGCAGTGCTGCTATTGACAGGAAAGTAGAAATGCTGTACCTGTCTTCTTTCTCCTACCTACTAGACTGCTCCCGTAGCCTCCTGCCTCTCTGGATTTGAGGTCTGGCAGCACAAAGAGGGATTCATGCACCTGCCAAGCCAGGGAGCTTGATGACGAGGTCTACCTGCAATTTATACCTGGCTTCTTTAGGGTATGGTCCTGGGCCCTCTTCTTTATCTACACCCATCTTGGGGTGAGCTAGCTCAACTAGTCCCATGGGTTTAAATTCTACTTCTATGTTGACAACTCCCAATTAAAGATCTCCAGCGCTGATCTGCGGAGCAGACTCTTATCAATTAACTGCCTGCGCAGCCAGCATCCCTACTTGGATGTCTCAAGCGCCTCTAACTTACCCAGTCCAAGAGGAATACCCGATCCCCCTGCCCCATCCTCAGATCTCCTCCTCCTCCTCCCATCTTTCCTGTCTCAGGAATGAAACCATGTCAAGTTATCACCTATGTTACCCCACTTTCCTACACCCCTTATATGACATCCATCAGCAAGTCCCTCAGTTCTGTCTCAAGGAAGCTTGAACCTGGTCACTCCCCCTACATGCATGACCACCATAGCCACCAGCATCTCTCACCTATACTACTGATAAACCCCCCCGAATTGGTCCCTCAGGTAGACTCATGCCAAATCCCTAAATGTTCTCTGTTTTACAGCCAGGGGGAGTTTTTCTGATGAAATATTTCATAATAGCATATCTCTCCTTAAAACTCCTTAAAGTTCTCTTTTAAAAAAAGTCCAAATTCTTTAATGACAGGTTATTATATACAACAACAAAAATAGTGGCAGTTAACATTTACAGGTACTTACTTAAGGTACTATTTCAAGCAATTTATATGTATCATCTCAATCCTCACAAAACTCTAGGAGGTAGACAGTCTTCTTAGCCCTGAACTCTAACCCGAAATGACTAGACCAGTGACATGATGGAGCCAGCTCACAACTGACTCACAAGAGCCAAATGTGTGCACCTCTTCCTGATTCCACACTCAGTGGTGTCCTCTCAGGACCTTGCAATCAGCCTCGGTGGGATAATTTACACCAGGGGCATTGGCAGGTGCCACAAAGTAGGGCTTTTGCTTTCCTGAACTAGTTGTGCACTCCTATCAAGGTTGAGAGTTTAGATAAGCTACCTCATGGTAGATGGCTGCCTCAGCATCTACTTCGTTTGACTGAGTGGTCTGCAGGAACCTTAAACTCACTCCAGCACGCTCATGCGAGCACATGCTCTGGACAGCAACCACAGAGCACAAGCACGTGTAAGTCCTGATATGACTCCCCCAGCGACCCTCGTGATCAACAGTCTCCCTGCCTCCCAGCTCCTTCCTGCATGCCTTATGTGCTCCTTAAAGAAGACCCATATGGAACTGAACGAAACTCCCATCTTTGGGTTTGAATGGACTAAACTAGCCCTAGACTGGGAACCCCAAAGTGCTCCAACATGGACCCTAAGAAAAACATGTGCTCAGGTTCTGCCTCTGTCTGCACTCTGCCAACAGCTCCCAGCGTGGTCCCTCGAGGCATGCCGTGTACTTCTTCCAGGTTCTGTGAGTAATACACTTGTCCATTTCAATTTCTCTCGTGGTCTGTTGTTGAATCACAGCTCACCATCCAGCACATTGTGCTCCACTTAACAAATATTAATTTCACAAAGTCTTAATGCCTACACAGCACTGGGTTAGATCCACCTCCTATATGCCCTTCCTATACTTCTTTGTGGACCTTATCACATGTACACATTTATATCATTTTTTGGCAATTACTTATCACCCACCTCCCTAAGATGTTAATAAGCTCTCTGAGGTCAAAGACAATGTCTACCTTATTATCTTGAATACCTGTAACAGTGTCTGGCACATAACCAGTGCTTGATGGATGTTTGTTAAAGAAATGAGAAACCTGTCTCTCCAGTCTTTCTAGGCTACAACGGAAAAGCTGATGTTCTAGCTTAGAAATGCAGCTCTACAGTTCAAAGAACTGAACCCTAAAACAGCAGCTCAAGAACCAATGGACTGTGGTCAGATCTGGCAAGTTTAACTCTTAGAAAAAATAATTAAACTTTCTCTTAAACGGACAAACAGGCAACAGTGAATCCTGGAAAGAAACAACGGCCTCTGTTTCACCTGCAGTGCAGATCGGCACCTCCAAGATCCTCAGCTGAGACCTCTTCTCCAGTCGCGGCTTTAACCTACAGCAGCAATAAAAGACAGGGGTGAGTTTTGCCCACTGGAGAAATACGAATGCTTACCTACCATGCAAGTCTTCTAACCTGACTATGGCTAACACTCTTTCTTCCACAGAGCTAATATTCTGTTTTCTTATTCCACCCACCTAGCAAACCTGCATAAAATGGTCTCTAGTCTACAGATGAAAAATCTGAACCCAGAGTCACCAGAAAATTTCCTCACAGCCCCTGAGCAAGTGACAGAACCTGAGTTGAATCGAAGTATTTCTGGCCTGAGAAAGCCCACTCTCCTTCTCCTTCTCCTATGCATGTCAAAGCATTTGTGTCTGTGCATATGCTGTTCCCACTACCTGGGCTCCCTGCTCTCTGTCACATACCTGAGGAATCCCCCTTCATTCTTTAGACCCCAGCTGCTCTATGTGGATTCTCCTGACCTGCCCAGGCCTCTTCATCATTAAGGAGTCTCCACAGCAATTAAAAGAACAATGCTTGTTCATCTGTGGTCCAAGAATACTCCACATACACCTCCAACAGGGCACCTATCAGATCGTATGTCAATAATCTGCACATGTCTCTATTGTCTTCTCTATACTGTGAGTTCCTTGATAACAGGAACTGTGATGTATTTGTCTTTGAATGCTCAATAAATTTATGAATTAATGCCATTTTTGGCTATCCTGAAAAATTCCAGTAACTATCACAAACTCTTCAATACCAAAGGTACAATACCTTTAAGATGGCGAAAAAAAAAATCTCTAAGATTACTAAGATTCAGCAGAATATGACCAAAAAGAAAGAAACTCAAGTAATAAATTACAAATGACTTAATTACAGCCTGAGAAATTCTAACAGAAAAAAAAAAAAAAAGAAAAATTATTTAGTGCTAAACGCCAACCTGATCCCTTAGGAATTGCTTATTGATTCCTACCTGTTTGGGTTGACTGGTTTCTTTTTCTTCAAATAGAAACATGTTTTTATTAGAATAATGAATATTTATCTAAACTGCAACGTAGCAAGGACTTACTCCCTACCTCAGAAGCTCTGTCTTGGCTTAGTCAGTTAAGCATCCGACTCTTGGTATTGGCTCAGGTCATGATCTCACAGTTTGTGGGATCGGGCCCTGTGTCAGGATCTGCAATGATAGCATGGGATTCTCTCTCTTCCTCTCTCTCTGCCTCACCCAGCTCATGCTCCCACACTATCTCTCTCTCAAAATAAATAAATAAACATTAAAAAAAAAAAAAAAGCTCTGTCTTAAATAAAATATTATTGCACACGGAAAAGTAACTAAAATTTTCACCTCCAATTATTCCACCCACAGGACTAAATTCTTGGTTCTCTTCTTCCCAAAATATTCATTGTAAAATAGCATTCAGCCCAGACAATAACTAATTATAAGAGGTGTCTGGATATTTAAAGTTGCAAAAAAGGAATAAACAACCATTATGTTCTATTTACTTATTTCCAGGGTTCTGACTAATATCAACTGATAAAATAAGGATTCGTCATTGGTTAATATTTACTGAACACCCACCCACAACATGTCGGATACTGTGACAGGTGCAAAGATGATAAAAATCAAAAAGAGCTCAATCTACTAAACATTAAGTTCAGAAGACCGAAGAACAAAAAGATCCTTCAAAAATTGGTCTTATTATTATGCATTTTTCCAGCCACTTTAAGTGACTAAAAGCTATAGCAACGCAACCCCACATCATGCACAAAATCTTTTTCAATTTTCAATAAAACAAGTGTCAAAATTTAGAACCCTGAAGCGGATGAGGCTGCTGCTTTTTTTTTTTTTTTTTTAACCCGTAACCATGTCTTTCAGTGGGAGACTACAGGACAGAGTCGAGTTGTCTAAGAGAACTGCTGACTTTGGCTGCCTCATTACTCCTGGCTGAGGCACAGGGTAAATCTGAACCCACCGACTGGAGGACACTGCAACTGCACATTAGAAAAAGCTTTCTCTTGAAAACAGCTAGTGTTCTTCCAGTATTCTCATGCTGCCTACAGTCCCAAAAAGGTGTCAGTCCCATCTTTACTCATTCTTTAAGGAAAAACACATACGAACTACTGAAAGTATATACCCTTCACTAGACAAAGGTAAATTTTGAATGAATTCTCTCCTCTCATTACCCAACGATAGGTATCATATATAACTAGAAAAATATTAAAGAATAATTGATATCAGAAGCCTTTTGAATAATGCCTTCAGGCTTTTATTACGTATAAAATGGCAGCTCTTCAGGCTTATCTGATCCTCAATAAAATTTATTAAAAATGAACACAACCATTTGGAAAATACACGTTTTTCACATTAAAGCAAGCATAAGCTGTTTTCAACATACTTTTTAAAATAAATTTGTGTTACTATTCCAAAACCAAAGATGATTTTTTTGACAGAATTTTAAAGCAATAAACTTACTCTCTGAGATAGAATTCACATACCACAAAATTCACACCTGAAGAATAAAATTCAGTGTTTTTTAGTGTCTTCACAAGAACGTGGAACCATCAACACCACCTAATTCTAGAAGTTTCATCACTCCCTAATGAAAGCCCATAGTCATTACAGACACTCCCCATTCTACCCTCTTCTTGGTCTCTGGCAACGACTAATCTATTTTCTGTCTCTACATATTTGCTTATTCTAAATATTTCATAGAAGCAGAACTACACAAAGCTTTTCCTTTTGTGTCTGACATAATGCTTTCATGGTTTATGTTGTAGCATGTGTCAGAACTTACTCCTTTTTATGGCTGAATAATATTCCATCATATGGATATCACAGTTCTAGAATATCCTTGACATTCTTCCTCTTACCTAATAACATTCTTAGATTTCATTTAAATAATGGGACATTTTTCTAAGATGTAGTAATCACCTGTGTCTTCACCTACCCTCCCTTTATCCCTCTGAAGTCTGCGACCAGACTGTGACACAAGCACAGCAGAGTGAAGACAGCATTACTGAACAACACTGGAATGGAGCTGAGCAAAGAGGGAATGGGGAAGAGTCTAGGATTACGTAATCCACTCCTCAGTCCTGCATCACAGGCAAGTGACCGGTAATGGTGTGCAGGAGCCCCCTCGCCGAAGGGCCCTGTGCTTTAGGGCTTAATGCTCAGTAGTTACCTATTGAACTTCTAATTTTATTTATTTATTTTTGATAGAGAGAGAGAGATACAGATATTTATTTTTGAGAGAGAGAGAGAGAGAATATGCACATGAGTAGGAGAGGGAAGAGGAAGAGAGAATCTTAAGTAGGCCCCATGACAGTGAGATCATGACATCACCTGAAATCAAGATTCAGACGCTTAACCAACTGAGCCACCCAGGTGCCCCAGATTTTCTAATTTTATCTTTGAATTTGTGTTCTGTAAATGAACAGTGATGGGGCTTATGTGCTGGGGTTCAGAACTCTTGCCTGGTCTGCCTCCCCCCACCTCGGTGGAAAGGGTTCTTGGCTCCCTGCTTTCCTGCCAACTGATGCCTGGGCACTGGGCTCTGCCCTATCTGCTCTTCCCTGCCCCCGCAAAGCAACTGCTACACCTGCCCCCAGTGGGGGCCTGGTATGGGCACAGGGAGGATCAGGAGTCAGGCATGCACCCCCTGGCATCTCAGGGTGGAGCACAGCAGCACCGGCACGATCCTGGGCTGGCAGTGCTGATGTGTATTCTCTAGCAGATGACTCAGTGGAGGTGGGAGCTAGCGGACAGCCTTTTGCCTCTGCCCATCTGGATACCAAGCACATCCTAGAGCAGAGGCTGTATACCCTTGGAGGTCATATGTCCATCAGGAGTTGAATGGTGGGCCACTGGAAGCATGAGTGCCAGGGAAAGGGTGTATTCCATGTTGGAGAGAACATGTCCTTAAATAGCAAATAAAAAACACCGTGACAGGCAAAGGTACGACAGAAGGAAAATGTTTTATATTTTAGTACCTTTAACAGTATTTTTTTCTTCCTTTTTGAACAAGGGGTCCTGTATCTTCATTTTGCACTGAGGTCTGCAAATTATATAGCTGGCCCTACAAGTGATTCATAAAGATTGCTAGTATTAGAAATTTAGAGCACCTCTCATAGCTATTCTACATTGTTCCTTTTTATAAAAACTTAACCTTTTTTTTTTTTTTAATTTTTTTTTCAACGTTTATTTATTTTTGGGACAGAGAGAGACAGAGCATGAACGGGGGAGGGTCAGAGAGAGAGGGAGACACAGAATCGGAAACAGGCTCCAGGCTCTGAGCCATCAGCCCAGAGCCCGACGCGGGGCTCGAACTCACGGACCGCGAGATCGTGACCTGGCTGAAGTCGGACGCTTAACCAACTGCACCTCCCAGGCGCCCCAAAACTTAACCTTTTTGAAAAGTAATATTTTCACAAGGCTCAGAGAGCTAAAGATCTCAAAATGTTTATGTGCAGAAAAAAAAAAGTCAAAAGTGTCTCTCCCACCCCGTTCCATCTCCTCTGCATTTAAACTATGTTTACTGTATCTTTTCTAGAGTTTCTATATGCATACACATTATATGCATATACATGCATTATATATATGCATAAATGTATAATTTCCCCATTTTACAAAAAGTGGACATATGTGCAAGCACCTTGCTATTTTTTTTCACCTAACAATTTATCGGCTTGTTATTGACCCTGAGTCAAACAGCACTGCAACTTATGTAAAAGAAAAAATAAGTAAGGCACCGGGTGGCTCGGTCAGTTATATCTCTGACTCCTGATTTGGGCTCAGGTCATGATATCACGGTTTGTGAGTTTGAGCCGCTTGTCAGGCTCCACGCTGACAATACGGAGCCTGTATGGGATTCTCTCTCTCTCCCTAGATCTCTCTGGCCCTTCCCCACTCTCTCTCTCTCTAAAAAAAAGTGTGCTCAAGAAATTCATGTTGACTGAACTGACTCAAAAAAAAAAAAAGAAAAAGAAAAAAGAAGTAAAAGTTTATTTCTTCAGCCATTCAACAAATGATCCTGTGCCAATTGTGTATCCACATACAAAACAAGATCAGACTCCTTCCTTAAATCCTACCCACATGAACTCAAAATGGATTACAAACCTAAAAGAGCTAACACTATAAAACTGAGAAGAAACTGAAGTATTAAATCTCCATGATCTTGCAATATAGGCAAAGCCGTCACATATATGACACCAAGAGCACAAGCAAAAAGAGAAAAGCAATACATAAAGTGGACTTGATCAAAATTAAAACTGTGCATGCTTCAAAGGAAGATACCATTAAGAAAGTGAAGACAATCCATAGAGAGGAAATATGTGCAAATCACATATGTGAAAAGAGACTTGTATACCGAACATATAAAGAATTCTTACAACTCAATAAAGACAACCCAATTTTACAAATGCGCAAAGGATCTTGGAGCACCTGGGTCGCTCAGCTGGTTAAGCGTCCAAATGTTGATTTCAGCTCAGGTCATGATCTCACGGTTCATGAGTTCAAGCCCCACTTTGGACTCTGCGCTGACAGGGCAGAGCCTGCTTGGATTCTCTCTCTGCCCCTCCCCCACGTGCATGTTCTCTCTCTCAAAATAAACTTAAAAAAAATAATAAAAGAATGGGCAAAGGATCTGAATAGACATTTCTCCAAAGAAGATACACAAATGACCAGCAAGTACATGAATAATGTTCAATGTCATTAACCATTAGAGAAATGCAAATCAAAACCTCAATGAGGTACCATCCACTAGGATGGCTATCATCAAACACATACACAATAACAACTGTTGGCAAGGAAATGTAAAAATCAGAACCCTCACACACTGTTGCCAAGCATATAAAATATGCCCTGGACAGGTTGGTATTTCCTCAAAATGTTAACCTCAGAGTTACCATGTGACCTAGCAACTGTACTCACAGGTATATAACCACTATAAAGGGAAACATATCCATACAAAAACCTGGATGTGGGGGCGCCCGTGTGGCTCAGTCAGTTAAGTGTCTGACTCTTGATTTCAGCTCAGGTCATAATCTCACAGTTCGTGGGCTGGAGCCCTGTGTCGGGCTCCATGCTGACGGCACACAGCCTGCTCAGGATTCTCTCTGTCCCTCTCTGCCCCTCCTCTGCTCATATGTGTGTATGTGCGCGCTCGCTCTCTCTCTCAAAATAAGTAAATAAACTTAAAAGAAGCTGGATGTGAATGTGCATGGCAGCATTATTCATAATACGCAAAAACTGGAAACAACCCACATGACTATCAGCTGATAAATGGATAAACAAAATGCAGCCTATCCATACAATGAAATATTATTCAGCAATAAAAAGAAATGATTTCTCAAAAAATTAAACACAAAATTATCACATGCTCCGGCAATCCCACTTCTGAGCATATACCCAAAAGAAATGAAAGCATGAAACTCAAATATATTTGTATACTCATGTTCACAGTAGCATTATTCACAACACCCTCAAGTGGAAGCAACCCAAAAGCCCAGTGATGGATGACTGAATAAACAAAATGGTATATACATGCAATGGACTATTACTCAGCCTTAAAAAGGAAGTTCTGACATATGCAACAACATAGTGAATCTTGAGGACCTTATCCTAAGTAAAATATGCCAATCACAAAAGGATACATACTGTATGACTGTACTTGTACAAGGTACCTACAGCAGTCAAAGTCATAGAAAAAGTAGAATTGGAGTAGCCAGGGACAGTGGAGGTTGGGGAGAATGGGGAGTTAGTGTTTAATGCGTACAGATTTTCAGTTAGAGCAGATGAGATACTGCTGGAGGTGGATGGGGGTGATGGTTGCACAACAAAGTGAATACACTTAATGCCACAAAACTGTGTCTTTAAAAATGGTTTGAATGGTAAAATTCATATTATGTATATTTTACTTCAATCAATCAATCAACCAATCAATCAAAACTATGTTCTTACCAATGGGGGTCCTCCCAAGAAAATGGTGCCCTGCTTGCGTACGATGATGTTTTCATCAGCCATTGCAGGCATATAAGCACCACCTGCCGTACAGGAGCCCATGACCACTGCTATCTGCAATGCAAGCAGACAAGAAACCCCTGAGGTAAGGCTCAAAGAGTTAATTATAGTCTCTGGATCTACAGTTCCATAAACGTTGTAGTACCAGGAGATATTACTAGCTGGTCCCTATAGTTCTTTTTAAAAATGGTCCTCCGAATGTTTGGAATAGTTTTGTAACTACTTCTATCAAAGCATTCTGAAGGGCTTAGATCACGTTTTTTACAAAACTTATGGACAGTCTCCCTGTGAGAGAGAAGACTGGCCATTTAGACCATTAGCCTGATCGACTTAATTGAGAGGAGAAACTCCACAAGCCACCCAAACATTAGCAAAACTGTGTTGAAACTAATAATAAGTCTTCTCAACAACTACCACTTACCTCACTGAAATAGTGAAATAATTCTCTGAGTGTTAATATTGTGTGTAACAATGAATATGGTATGTTCTAAATATAAAACTAATGTTAGCATCAAAGTTGAAAATCTTGCTCAAAAGAAAGTCAATTGTGTAGAACCTGGGTGATGTGTACCTGAGTATTCGCAGTATTATTTTCTCTACTTTTATGGGTATTTAAAATTTTCAATAATAAAGCTTTAGGGGCGCCTGGGTGGCGCAGTCGGTTGAGCGTCCGACTTCAGCCAGGTCACGATCTCGCGGTCTGTGAGTTCGAGCCCCGCGTCGGGCTCTGGGCTGATGGCTCAGAGCCTGGAGCCTGTTTCCGATTCTGTGTCTCCCTCTCTCTCTGCCCCTCCCCCGTTCATGCTCTGTCTCTCTCTGTCCCAAAAATAAATAAACGTTGAAAAAAAAAAAAAATTAAAAAAAAAAATAAAAAAAAATAATAAAGCTTTAAAAACAACTCTTACTTACAGATTAATAAGACACAAAGAATAATAAATATGGGTTTGGCTGATTATGTCTAAGTAGGCATAAATAATATCAGAGAAAATTTTTAAAAGTATGTAATGGCTATTTTCTTAAATTACCATATGAAAGCAGTTTTTGCTACTAATTCCAATATTCATTCTATCAGTTTTCTTACAGTCATACAAATACCCATTTTGAAATGAAAATGCTACACTAGTATCAATCCAAAGATGCAAGACAGCACGAGTTAACATTTTTCCATCTAAATGGCAGTCACAAAAAGTATTTTTCCCTATTTCATGTATGTTATTAAAAATGGCTGCAAAATTGCACTGCCAACATATTACAAGTATTTATCACGCATTGTGTTTGCTTATCAATCAGAAGTTTATTTTCGAAGTATCTATGGCTAGAAAAGTTCTTGAACAAGGAAAGAAGCACCGGAAACATTCACTGTGACAGTGTTCATGAAAACGAAGATAGCAAATAACCAACACATCCATCGACACAGCATTTTGAACCAATACACCAACTGTTAATGAGTTCTTTAAAAATCTGAGGGAAAAAAACAAATGATCTTAACACTTCATAAATCCATATGGAGGGTACATGAGTGTTCCATTCTGTTACTGTACTATTCTCTGTTCTTTCCGCATTTTTGAAATATTTTATGGGCTTTTTTTTAAGGTTCTATCAGGAGTAAAGGACACAATTTCACCTTATCAGCCTGCTCTCTGTACACGAACAGCAGATACAGTTCAAACTATTTCAGTACCAAAAAAATAAAAGTCAAGGAAGTAGAGAAGAGTCACAGTGAAGTAAAAATCTAAAAAGGGACAAATTTCAAAGCCCTGAAGAACTAAACAGGCATAGCAGGGTTCCATGAAAACAAACTGAAAGCAAAAGAAAGCAATAGCAACTGTCAGCAAATATTCAGAGACCAAGGATGAGAGGCAGGGTGGCTGGTAAACAAGGAAAGAAGAATCTGTTTGTCAAAAGGTAGTTAAGATAAAAATGAGGGAAATGAAGCTAAATGCCATCATGCCATCTCAGGGGGAGAAAAGACCTACCAGTTTGATAGAAAAGTTTCACAAGTGAATCGCTAACAAATTATTAGTGCATCTATACTAGGGAATTCTGCCATATTCCTAAGGGCACTTCAGATGCGTTTTTTTCCAAAGCATTTCCAAAGCCAAGGAAATCAACAATCCACTTCTCTTGCACGAACTGATAATGGCCTCCACCGATCCCTGACTCTTGGTATCCACGTCCTATAAAATCTGGTAACATGCTTCTAATACATAGATTATAGCAAGTGTCACTCCTGTGATCAAGTTATGAGAGACTCTGTCTTCCACCTTGCTGGCTCCCTCTCTTGCCCACCTGCCTGTTCACCCTAATGCATCTAGCTGACATGTGGTAACTTATACGGATGCCCACTTGGGAAGGAACCTAGACATGCTTCTGGCCAACAACTTACAAGAAAATGAGTGAGACCTGCAGAGAACTGAATCATGCCAACAACCACGTGAGCAAGCCGGGGCAGACCCTTACTAACGGAGACTGAAGAGGACTGCAGCCACATGAGACCCAGAGGTAGGGGATCCGGCTCAGCTGTGCTCAGAGTTGTGCCCCAGAGCAACTGTGAGGTAAAAAATGGTGCTTTCAACTACCAAGTTTTGGGGTACTCTGTTCTGCAGCAATGGATAACTATCACAGAGATCAAAAAGCATCTAAAGTAACTACAACTGAAGCACATCTGAAGCCTTGGGACGGTCTTTGCTTAGAAGTACTTTGCTGTTGGTGCACCTGAGTGGCTCAGTCGGTTGAGGGTCTGACTTGAGCTCAGGTCATGATCTCACAGTTCATGAGTTCGAGCCCCACATAGGGCTCTATGCTGGTATGGATCCAGAACCTGGGTGCGCTTCAATTTGCAACGTCTCCCTCTCTCTCTCTGCCCCCCCACCCCGCCTGCTTGCTCTGTCTGCCTCTCAAGCACTTGAACTTAAACTTCCAGCTTCAGGTCATGAGTTCGAGCCCCCCATCAGGCTCTGGGCTGACCAGTCAGAGCCTGGAGTCTGCTTCAGATTCTGTCTCCCTCTCTCTCTGCCCCTCCCCCACCCACACTCTGTCTCTGCCTCTCAAACATGAATAAACATCAAAAACAAAACCAAAAAAACAGAAAATACTTAAAAAAAAAAAAAGTTATTTGTTGTTGCTGCCCTTCAGTAAACCATTCCCCTATTGCAGAAATGGGAGACAGTCCATAAACAGAATGCTGTACCATCCCAGAGAGTAATGAAAAACCAAAAGACATGGGTAAACATTGAAACCATTTTGCTAAATGAAAGAAACCACTTATTATATGATCCCTTTCAAATGAAATGAATAATAGGCAAATCATAGAGTCAGATGAGTGCTTGCGAGGGGCTGGAGAGACTGGAATGAAATAAGCAGTGACTGTTAATGGATATGGCATTTCCTCCTGGAGTGATGAAAATGTACTAGAATTGCCTCAACTCGGGGAATATCCTAAAAACCACTGAACTGTACATATTAAATGGGTGAATTGTATGGTATGTGAATTAGATCTTAATAAAGCTATTATAAAATTTTTAAAAAAAGAGCTGGAATTATTAAGTATATAAGAATCAAAATTCTCAAATTTTATCAATAAGAAACAGGCTAGGGGTGCCTGGGTAGGTCAGTCGGTTAAGTGTCCCACTCTTGGTTTCAGCTCAGGTCATGATCTCATGGTTTGTGGGTTTGAGCCCCATGTTGGGCTCTGTGCCAACAGTGTGGAGCCTTCTTGTGATTTTCTCTCTCTCTCCCTCTCTGCTCCTCCCCTGCTCACATGCTCTCTTTCTCTCTCAAAATAAATAAATGTAAAAAAAAAAGAAACAGGCCACGCTAGTCACAAGTATCTCATAGACATTAAACTTAGCATCTCTAAAGCAAATTCTGATAAAAGAAAAATTAAATAAAAGAACCTAGATTAGAGAAGTTACCACCGTCACAGAATCTCCTCTTCTCATCATTTAATTCTAAGCCATTCGCTTACTTGCAGAACAGGGTGAATGTCCATCAAAAAGAGCCCTGCCACTGCGTCTGCTCCTTCTTCTCACAAAGCACAGGAACCCCGGGGCCAAACAGCTCTAACGGCTTTCCCTGTCCCAAAGCATTTGTCTGTGGTACAACAACGATCTCACGCTGCCCATGCTGGACAAATGATGTAGACCCCAAGGAAGAAAATTCTGCTGCTTTCTCTATTAAGAGGACATTAAAAGGGCATAAGTAAGATGTGTGAACATAACGTATACTGAGCACACTCAGGGTATAGGCTTGTGTTGGGGGCACAACACATGCACCAAATCAGGGGAGACATTAGAGTGACTCTCATGTGCATCAGAACACAGAACAACTCCCAAGAACTCCACTGAGAGGCTACAGTCCACCCAGTCACCCATGAGGTGGGCTTCCTGCAATGTGGACAAGCCAAGAGGTCTCTCCCACAGGGTGAGGAGGTCCATGGTGACTCAAGACTTAAATCAAGACCAAGAAAGCAGCAAGAAGGCTAAGAAGGATATGTAACTGACTATAACATTGCCTGCCATCACTACCAGAGAAGGCACAAGCAGAAATTTTGAGTAACAGGAAATGAGATGCAGGGCACCTGGGTGGCTTAGTCAGTTGAGTACCTGACTCTTGATCTCAGCTCAGGTCTTGATCTCAGGATTGTGAGTTCAAGCCTCACGTTGGGCTCTGTGCTGGGCATAAAGCCTACTTAAAAAATAAAAAATAGGGCGCTGGGTGGCTCAGCTGGTCAAGCATCCAACTCTTGATTTTGGCTCAGGTCACGGTTCATGAATTCAAGCCCCACATTGGAGTCAGCACTGGTGGCAAGAGCCTGCTTGGGCTTCTCTCTCTCTCCCTCTTTCTCTGCCCCTCCCCCACTTGTGTTCTGTCTCTCTCTCTCTCTCTCTCCTCCCCTCTCTCAAAATAAACTTAAAAAAGTAGAAATAAAATAAATAAAATAAATAAAAATTAAAAACTCTTTTAAAAAAGGAAATGAGATTCTACAAAACAGAAGTAAGAGTCTGCAAAAACTTCAGACAAAATTTCATTACCCTCCAGGTCTTGCCTAAACA